AAAAAAAGAATGAATTGAGAGAGAGAAAAATAAGTGGGAGCCAGTTTAAAGTGCTGATGTGGACTGTGGGAAGTCAGTACTCAAAGTCTTTGAAATCAGGGCTTGAAGTCTCACAGCTCAGGAGACTATTCTCAACACGACTGTTGGTACTTCTGATAGTATCTCTAACTGCAATTAGAAACTGCACCCCAGAATTTAGAAAAAGAAAATTCTTTTTAATACTTACAAAATCCTTCAGTACAAGTATTGGACTACAAGAAAGGAAGGAGAGGCCAATAAATTTGCCACACAAATGGAACAGAAGTACAGAACTATTTCTCATTCAGTCAAGAGTCAGGAAAATGGTATGACTGAATGCCACAAATAATAAATTATAATATCCCAACAGGAAAACTACTTAGAACCCATGCTCTTGAAAAAAGAAAAGCCAAAACACAGGACCAGGATTTTCCTCCAGGAGATAGTGATGGAATTATACAGTACTTTGTTCCTCTCCCCCATGCTAATTTCATCAAAGAACTGGATAATTCTTTTTTCTATCCTATAGCGCAGCCATAATGCAGCAGCCTGCTGTGCCAAAGAACTTCAAAGGTATCAGTGCAGAATATCAGATTTGCCTCTTTTCATTGACCTCGTATGCAGTTATTTGAATATTACAGGGAATATTGGCAAGTTACGGAACTGAAAGAATTTTCAAATTACTAAAAGCATTCCTGGGAAAAGCACAAGAGGAAGGGCGTTTCAGTTAAAAAAAGTAAGATTACAATTCTAATTGCACAGGCCAGTGCTAACTGCTACCTTGTGCTGCAACATCTATAATGAACTCTTTCTTTCACTTCTAAAACCCCTCTTGCAATCAGGGCACATATCCAACACTGTGGTCCATGTGTCAGCATCATCCAACTTCAGTTCTTCCTTCTCCCTGGTACATTCAAAATTGAATGCTCTAGCTTGGAAACTGCTGTTATAAACCAAACTAGATAAAGGATAATGTAAACCTTTACTAGTAATTTTTAGAAGGAGGGGAACGTTACATACTTAGCAATAAAAAAAAAGTGTAGTATTGGGAGTTATTCTTCTTTAGCAAAGGACGTAACTTTAGTGTTGGTTTCTAGAAATCTTCCCAAGGAAAGGAATACTCTTCTTGTACTTAGTCCTGCTCAATTTAATTTAAATCCAACACCAAGTAGCTTCCCTCTTCCTTTCAAATCAAACGGAATTCATTGTGTAGTTAGAGCTTGACATAATTTCAGCAATTTCATCAAAGATCAAGAAAACAGCAACTCCTCTGGGAGCATGCTGGAAGAAGGAGATGCATTTTCTTGTGCATAGAGTACTTTTCCAGCACTGTTTTACAAGTGCTTCAACACTTATTTTTGGAATTACCTATTATTTCCCTTTGTTAACATTCAATCAGAAGACAGTATAGTACTTTATAATTCAGAGAATCCCAATCTTTTTGAAAGTCACATTCCAGCAAGATGACAGATGAACATTTGAGGAAAAGAAAAAAAAAAAAAAGCAAAACCTATTTAATACTTACTACTCAGGTCCAGCACTTTTTAGCTAACCTCCTCAACTCTTCAACCATATATGTCTCTATTGTCTCTCAATCAAAAAATTAATATTAACAAGGGTGAAAAATTATGCTCTCCAAAGATACAAAAATAAAGGTTGCCCATTGAGCCTTTGTTTGGGGAAAATGTTATCATTTAGATAAAACAATCAGTTCTTATAACAAAAATTCTTTCAGCACAAGCTGTATTAAAAAAAGCTAAGATTTTGTGTGTTAACTCTGATGAAGGACAACCATTCTGTGTGGTAATACAATTTAAAAGAGAGGGGAAGAGATAAGTTACCAAAAATTATCTGAATGATGATGATCAATTTAACAAATTTCCAAATTCACATCATCTCATACCAAACATTTTTGAAAATCAGAAAAAGTACAACAAACAAGCCAAAACAAGAAAGGCACAAAAAAATTGGGAATATAGAAGACTTAAAACCAACACTATTTGAATTTCCACGAGAAAACAAATGATGTATAGTACAGATGCAAATGTACCATTTTAAGCCCACTGCACACTGATAACTTAATTACATACTTTTAATAGTTGTCTGAAAATGGCTGAAATATAGTGAAATTTCAGAGCTAATTGTAAGAATCTCCAGCACCCAAAAGAGGTAATTTTCCATGAAGAGCTAGGATTCTGAGTTTTAAGTGTGCTAGTGGTATCAGGAGCATGATCTTAAGAAAACCACCAATCAACCAAAACATCATAAAACACACAGGGGAAAATAGTGCAAGTTTGTTGCCAAGTAATAATCCAAGGCAGTGGAAAGGCCACAGTTTCTGAAAAATCTACTGCATTATCAAATGCACCATCATCTCTGTTTGCTCATAAAAGAATTACCAAAACCACTATATTATTATTCTAGAAACCTCTTGTTTCCCTATTACTGAAAAGGGACATTCAGAAATTCCCAGATTCTTATGGACGAGCAGGGGGTAGATATTAAAAGTACTTCACTGGAAACAATCTTAATAAAGCAAAGAATAACAATGCAAACTAAGAGTACTGGCATCAAAACAAAGTTTGCCTTGGCTTCCTTTTCTTCCCCTCTTCCCTGGCAGTAAAAGAACTTCTCTGACTGTCCGTTTTATATAGGCATTAAAGCATCTTCTATATATTGCTGCTTTTTGTAGGAAGAGGAAGCTACTGAAATCTAGGTTAAAAAGTAAAAGATGAAGCGTCAAAATCAGTGTTCATGCTGAGGCTCTATGGCATATTCCGGACACCCTCTGAGCCATGCAAGGCATTAACTGAACACAGGACAGCTCAGTTCACCCAATTTTTTACCTGCATGCCCTCTGAGCATCATCCTGCTCCATCACACATTTAGATTTCTGCACTAATCCATAACCTCCTAAGAAGATGTTACCCTGATTAGTTAAACTCCTTAACAAGTGCACAGAAATTGTCTTAGTGTGTTTTTAATGTATTTCTGTGGTCTCCCCTACAACAGTTAATTAGAAAGTGATTCTAAGTAGCTGCAGTGTGCAGCAGGTGCCATACCGCGCCTTCTCTCTGCAGGGTGTCTGCCACTCCCTATTTTGAATGCTCATTATCACCTTTTACATTCACTTGATAAATTTATTAAAAAATACCATCTGATGAGGACTCTGCTCTGTGCTGTATTTTCAAGTCTTCTGGTTCTCTTCCTTTTTTCTGATAAAATTTCTGCTTCAATTTAGGTCACTTGTTTACAAAAACATACTGCCAAAACCAACAGTATTGTTTCTATTTTTATTTCCTTTTTTTAATCCAACATCTATCCAGCTTTTACTGTAACCAATGCTGCAAGAGAAAACAAAAGAGCGGATCACAAATATGGAAATTCTTTTTTTCCACTGTTCATACAGCAGTTTTGCTCTGACAAATCTGATTTGCTTTTATGGAACAGAAAAGACGTGCGCTAGCAAAGCATACACATTCTGTAAGCAAACAAAAGGAGAAGATGATTGAGGTTATAGTGCAGCCGCATCAAAACATTTATTAAAACTTACTTTCTTGTCTCCTGGTCCTATGCTGCAGTATGGAGGGATGAACAGCTTGGCAGTATATTTAATTCTAGTAACACTATTTTAAAAAGGATTGTCATTTTCAAGGCATGGCCTAAGGGCCACCTATACTAGCTCCATTTAAAGGTAGGACAGATATGTTATTCAACTGTCCTCAGAGATCCCTAGGAGAAAAATGTACCAGGAGTGTGTGGTAGCCTCAGTGTATCACTCCTTAATGATTTTTCGGTTGATACCTGCTAGAGCTCATGATTTCTGATCCAATAAATTAGAACAAAAGCATTCCAGTCATTAGAACTGGCCATACTTCTAATTGCAAACCAATTGGCTGGCTATTGGGCTCTTTCATTAAACATTCTGTCTGAAGAAGGCTTTCAGAAAGAGCAGTTGTTTCAGAAGAGCCCTAGGAAGCACGCATCCTTCATTGCCGCACTGGAAACAGGAAGAAAAGAAAAAGAAAAAAAAAAAGGTAACTGGAACCATATGAACAGATTTCTGTTGAAGAATGGGTAGCAGCAACTAAACTGACACATGTGGGTGTCCTTTCCTGTAGAAAGATGGGAAAAAAAAAAAATCCCTGCAGTATTTAGATCATCTTCAAATTTTCATAATTTCCTAAGGCTATGCTTGCAGCAGAGCTGACTTACATTGCTGGGTAAACGTGCATGATTTTGAGAGAAGGTTAACCTTCAAAAAAAGAAGAAACACAATATAATAGCTTTGTGTGGAGTCAACATTAAACTAGACACAAAAATAGCATCTCACTGCTTGGAGAGAGAGAGCGCAATCTTTTACAAAGCTGAACCACACACTAGGAAACTGATATGACTGGTTTCTCTCTGTAATATATATAATTTTTTTTTCAATAACTGCCAGTGAGTAAAAGACAAGTGAATGATTATTTATTCATTTCATTTTTTTCCTTTTAAAACAAGTTCTCCTAAGGCATTGAACAGCACGCAAATGAAGGTTCACAACGATTCATAAGTACTGAACAGCATTCCCCAGAGGGTGACCAAGGACATTCCAGTGTTTTATATCCATCTCCTGTTCTTCAGTCATTATTCACTGTTCTGCTTTTCTTGTGTAACATACAAGTTACAAGATAGTCTGAGAGACTGAGACAGACTACAGATAAACACAACTTCATATAAAAGCCTTCCACGCTGCACTCCCTATGACCTTAACCAGGCTCAAAATAGGACAGTAGGCTGGTCAAATCCACGTGCCTGCACAGTCCTTGACTGCCCCTCACCACTGAGTGCTGATTAAAGGACTAAGCAAGGTTATACAATTTTTCCCTTTGAGGCAGAAGAGAAGAATTGTTTCCTGTATTTAGGTCAGGGAGAAACCCCAAAACCAAAAAAGGCATTGCACGGAAGTAGCTCCTTACCCACTGTTGTTCCTTGTTGCCATTGGGCAGAGTAGAAGCTTTTACAAAACTTCCCATCACGCCAGGTACCACTTCTGCCTCTGAAGGAGTATGTTTCTCTGGCTTGTGAAAATTTTCATTTGTTTTGGATTCTAGATTAAATATTAATGACTAAAGACCATTCAAAATTTCAGAAGTGGGAGTTCATTAAAAGCAAACACTATGCTTTTGAGATTCAAAAAATATTTACATCTCTGTTAAATGAAACAGTTATGTCGATCTCGTGATTCTAGTATGTGGAACTGTTAACTTACTAACTAACTAACTCCATGCCCTAAATTATCTTTGAAATTCATTAAATGCTGAAACAGATCAAATAGTTCATCTCATCAAAATGCTTACTAAACCACAAAATACCAGAGAGTACTCGAAAGACAAGTCAATTATGGTACAAGCACACTTCCACGAACGTACATGGATTCACTTGCTTACTGCTTATGATCAAACAAACTTTGAGTTAACACAAAAAAAAAGGAAAGCAAATATGTTGATTCCTATAAGTATTTGCTAAATAAGACTGATTATTAAATCAAATATACATAGCTATATGCATCACTTATTTACAACACAGTAACTCTGATTTTGTATAAAGTTTTTAAAAGTTCACAGCTGGCAGTGCTAAATATGAAATTTAGCTCAAAGGTTCTACCAAACTTGAAATATTTTGTTTCTCCCCTAACTAGCTTACTGAAGGTATATATTTTATTTAAACACAGTTCTTCGTTACCACTTGGTCTATTTTCTTGTCACTAGCAATCGCAATACTACTTACAAACTCCCTAAAACAAAGCGAAAATTTTCTATTTGCGTTATAATACAGCTTGTACACTTTGGTGCTGTATAACATAAAAATTAATAAGGTATGATTTTTCAGGCTATTTATTCTATGCTTCTAAAAAAACATAATGAAATTACACAGCAAACCTCGTAAGATCAGATGTAATCATGCGATGCCTTTGTATAATGCATAGGGAACAGGCTAAAGGAGTTGGATCCCAGCTTCTCATAGCTGAATATTATAGTTTTCTCAGAAAATAATTAAAAGAAATATATCTTACTAAAATCTTCCCTCTTATTCTTTTTTGAAAACTGTTTTCCCTTCCATCTACCATAGGTGCATACTTAAATTTTAAATTTATGTTTAAAACAGCATGAACTCTGAGAATTTTTCTGAAATTCTCAATTTCATGACAGAAGTAACAAACTCTGGGAAATCCCACCTAGACAACTAAAAAGGTGCAGAAAACTCTTCCCAATGAATTTTAGGATCTCACTCATGTGACTTTATATGGAAGAAAGCAGAGAAACCACTGTCTTTGGACTATTAAAAAAAAATCGATATTAAATCTTACTTTGACATAGTTTATCATTCAGTATTATTGGTCTGTTGGGGATTTCTACCTTAAGTAATGCAGTACCATGCAGACGTACTTAAATCAGTATTATATAAGCTGTTTGTGTCTCCAGAAGTAACAGAGCTCCATCAGCATGGCATTCTGAGAGTAAGGGTAGCCAATATAACCTTCTACCATGGCTAAGCGTGTCTATGACTCAAGGGGAAAAATCAACATGAGAGTTTACTTTCAGCAGTTGAAATTAGGCTGTACAAGAGGCCCTAAATGCCCAAATCCATATTCACTGCAATAAATAGCTCTGGTTACTCCACCCTTGTTACAGAACTCAGGCCACCCTAGCAGAAGGCAAGGGCAACCATACTATGACATGCAAAAAAAAAAAAAAAAAAAAAAAAAAGGATTAACACC